TTCTCATAAAAAAAAATTTTTGTTCATGCCTAATTTATGAAGATTGTTAATTTTGTTAGTTAAGCTTAGAAATTATTTAATATTTAAGATTAGTGCGGAGGCTTATTATTCACCTTGGCCTCCTTGGTTCCCGGCACTTGTTGTAGTTAAGAAATAAGTGAAATAGATGAATAAAAATAAAATATATAAATAAAGTAACTTGTGATGACCATGTGATGTCATCTGATGTCATCTTGTGATGTCATATCATATACATAATAGTTAAGCCACAAGGTTACCTAACAATGATCACTTCCTTCTTCTCCTAGGCTTACAATGGACATGCTGATGCCTTGAGTGTATTCTGTCTCTTATACACATCTAGATGTGTATAAGAGACAGTATATATATATTCCAGTCCAAACTGTTCCAAAATTTTTTTAGAATTAACTATTGTTTTACACATTAAATCTGTATATACAGTAGTATTAAAGTTAACGTAATGTTCATATGCCGATAAATAAAGCAATTTTTTTTAAATTGGCAATTTCATTCATTTTTTCTGTTTTGCTCTGTCTGTTCATTCATTTACATGAAATATCGTTTTTATATTTCTAAATTATATAGCGGTGGATGGAGGTAAGTACTTGCTCCTGATTTATATTTTAATTGGTTTTAATTGCCCGTCGACGTGTTTACACTTTATAAGTATTTAATTGTAATTTTTAGTCTCGTTATAATCCTCCAAAGTTTGACGGTCTATAAAAACCTAAATTATTCTCCGCATTTAACAAATACGTTGATGCAAATTAGAAGGGCACATAGGCTACTAATACTGAAACTGGCTACAGTCCAATGTCATTATGAGAGCAACTACCTGATTTGATTTAATTTAAATTTATTCGAAAAATCACTTAAAAACTGAATAAAAAACTTATTACTTATCTTAAAGAATAAAAACCTTTAACTTTCATTTTCAAATTTACTATGTTTTCAATAATTTGTATATCATGAGGTTATTCAATTCCTTTATACCTGTGTAATAAAATGTATTACAAATCTGTCATTAAAAAATGTAACACTAATGAATATGCTCAATTTTATTTCTTAGCGATTGTCCCGCAAATTACACATGTCTACCAGATATAGACCCGAATCCAAACTATGGATATACGAGCTTTGATAACTTTGGCTGGGCAATGCTTACGTGTTTTCAGTTAATTACACTCGACTATTGGGAAAACGTTTACAATTTGGTTAGTCTTAACTTAATTGTTGTCTTTAGATACATAATGCAAAACCAGCTTCATTTTCAGAGAGATAAATGACTGAGAGGAGACTGGGTTTTTAGTTTCTGAACTATTTGACTTTCTAGTTTATATGTGGAGCTTCTGTTGGACATTCTTACTGTACTTTTTTGAAAGGAAATTTTAAGAAAATACAATTAAAAATAGATAATCAGCCTAAGTTTATGTTAAGTTCCATGAGACCATTTCGATGCATTTTTCATTTATTAATCAACTGTCAATGCGTTTTTCAGGTTATTCGAGCTTCGGGGCCTTGGAACATGTTATACTTTCTGATGACGACAATGCTGGGTGCATTTTACCTTATCAACCTTATGTTAGCTGTCGTCTCTATGGCGTATACAGAGGAAGTGGAAAGTGGAGGCGTAAGTAATGGTGATGAAAATTGTGGTGGTGACCATAATGATAATGTTGCGGATGCTGATGATAATATATGATTATATGAACAATTTCAATGTTATTAAACCATGTAACGAACTGAAATCACAGACAGTTTATCGACAAACCAGATGAATATCTTCAACTATGAGGTGATTATTTTGTTGATGATATTGGTGTTGGTGATGATGGTGATGGTAGTGTTGAAATGTGATAGTATTGATTATGCTGATAGTAATGATGAGGGTAGTGGGGAAATATTATTATTATTATTATTGTTGATTATGATGCCCATTGTGATACGGTGAAATACAGGTCAGGTTCCGAGGCTAAGCTTAACTGCAAGCGGTTTTCCTAATGTATTGCTCTTCTTATATGCATTTTGTATCTAACTTTGATTTTTCTTGTACACATTAATATTTTTAAATCTTTAATTGGTTATAATAATTTCATATTTTAATAATCAGTGCTGTGATTTTAAATTTTTGCCAGTTTATAAATGCATTTCCTTCTTTTGTTGGACAATAAATTATTTCAGTATTCATTATTCAGTATCACTTTACTAAGAAAAACTATCCACCACCGGTCACCGTCCCGGTAATTCTGAGTGTGGGTGTTTATGTATTATGCTCATTCTTAGGCTTACATCTGTTTTATTGCCAACGTTATAAAATCAGTATGGTGAAAATGTTAGTATTTTGTTTACATTTTACGTTAATTCTTATGCAACCACAGGGAAAAGACATGAAAAAAGAGAAAGAATCTGTCATGACAATGAATGCAGAAAAGCTGCGCAAAATGGCTGAACGAAAACAGAAAATAAAGCTACGAAAGAAACAAAAACTGCAACAACAGAAATTGGAAGAGGAAGCACGGAAGGAACAAGAAGACCAAGGAAAAGAAAAAACAACACTACCTGATCAAACAAATACAGACACGAACAGAGAAATATTAAAAGATGAAACGACATCTAAAGCATCAGACGTAAGTTCAATAATCCTTACTTTCAATATGTAGGCCTAACTACAAAAATAATTGCTCTTTTATTCCATACAATTTACATTTAATCACTGTTTCATTTAATTACTTTAATGGCAACCAAGGATTTAATTGAAGAGAATGATGATGATAATGACGTAAGTTACACGTCCGGGTGTTGCACCATTGAAATGTGCACGATGTCACTTCAGCACTGTTTTTATTTTCATATTGTTTATTTACAGTACATTTCTGTTGCACCACTTACAATATTAGTATTATGCCTTTTCCATCATAGTACCCTTCAAATAATGTTAAGCTATGGTTTTGTGAAACCAAAATGTGTGCTGCTTATTAGATACCACCTTCAGTGTGATTCCAATACAGTGGCTGATCCAGGAATCCTAAATAAATGGGGCCCATAGAGGGACTCTCGCACTTTGAGGGTTTATACCCCCTCAGCCCCAGCCTGGTGTTGGGGGTGAGGTAAGAAAATTTATGATTATAGCGCCTCTAGATGGCCGGAAATGGCACGCTGAGACTTAAATTTGAATGTAGGCCTACTTTGTTTTTTCTCATGCCCCCTTGAACAAGTTTTATCCTTTCCTTAGTCTTAATTATATCAAGATTCAAGATTTAAAACTTTACCCACCCTCCCAACAGACCTACTTGTTAAATGAATTTGAATGTATTTTCAGTCAAGATTCGCAGACTCTAGAGATATGAACTCTACAACGGGTGTCAGCAAAGGTGGTAACAAGCAAGACGGTGAGTTTATTTATGTGTTGTCATACATCAGCACCATACTTAGTATACCTATATGAGTAGAGGCTATACTCCGAAACTGTCAGATCCAGATGAGAAAACACAAAATGGTATACTATTTGTTTACATACTGTATGGGCCGCATCCAGATTGTTATACCGGGGTTAGTGGTGGGTGTGTGTAGCATAGAGCCAATCGAAGATTATGATAACTGTTTGTGAGGGATGGATCTTTTTCAGGTCTAGTGTCGGTACAAAAGAGCCGTAAGCCCCTAGATGCTAGAACCTCTGTCAAAGTTATATTGCTGTCACGGAGGAGAGCACCAGTTTAGCTTTGTTCTGGATCCGCCACAAGTATAATAATTATCAATTACGTAGTTTAATTGGTGCATTTAAACCCTTAGTTATGTATTTGTTAGAAATTTTCCAGAAACTGTTTTAACATCTTTGTTCTTGTTGTTAGTCTTAATTTCGTGCTTATAGATGTATATTTTGTACGCCATGTGCAAAAGAGAAAGCAAGTGTTTAAAATTATTTTTGAGCCAAGAATTAATTATTTTTATACAGTACCAAGAATTATCCACAGTATGATTTTTCTATGGCAAATCATACTAATTTGTGAAACCTGATAGTGTGGACAGAGATTTAGCGTAATTTTAGTTATTTAGGCTAATGTTGCTTTTTCTTTTAGATACATCTCGAAAAATTGATGAAAGTGACAGTGTTCATATTTGCGACTACAAGTGGTGTTGTATGTGCTGCAGACAACACGTCAGGGTGTCCAAGAAAGTTTACCATTATTGGCAGAAATTCAAAATGGCCGTGTCATGGGTCGTACTTGACCCACTATTTGATCTCTTTATCACATTATGTATTTTGTTGAATACAATATTCCTGGCGCTTGACCATTATAACATTAGCCTCACGTTGATGCAGGTTCTAACGATCGGAAATACAGTAAGTTATTTTGTCAAATCCAGAATATTAACTATCAATCAACTCATGATAACCATCACTTATAAAGAATTCCCATTAAGTTACCACGTTGTGTAAATGTACAGTTAGAGGTTATATCTGTTTTATTTTAGATATTTACAATCATTTTCACGGTGGAATGTGCAGCCAAAGTCATATCGCTTGATGTGAAATATTTCCGGACTAGTTGGAACCTGTTTGACCTGGTCATCGTCATTGTCAGTCTTATCGAGCTACTCCTCTCTGGTTCAGATGGGAGCGGGCTATCGGTACTTCGAACCTTCCGATTGGTGAGTAGTTAAACAATATATGGTGGGGATTGACATTTTAATTATAGATGACCTAATAATAATAATTATGATAATGATATATATCACATGATAATTATATATAACACACATATAAACGTATTTAAACCTGGGTTGGAACTATTTTATTTTAGATAATTTCTTTGTATCTATACTTTAGTTAAAATAAAAATTCAATTTTTCAACTTTTGTAAAAGGTGGCTACGTCTTAAAGCTTTGAGTTTTTGTTTCAGAACTTATTGCCTTCCATGCAATTAATTTGTTTCAATTATCTTATTTTATTGAAAAGCAATTTAAGTGAAAATTAAAGTATTTGGATTGATTTGATATATAAATCTGCAACTCCCTTATAAATATGTTTATTTGTATGTATGATTCTACTTTCTGATATTTTGGTATAAAATGTGAGGCTGTGTCAAAGTTTCCGTAAGGATTAACTTGAATCTAGTAGTAATTCAATTCAATATTGATTGTTGTCTTGTTGCAGACAATGTGTTTAAACATAATCGTCAATCCACATGTGTTTTGTTTATTCCCTCAACAGCTTCGTGTTCTCAAGCTGGCGCAGTCGTGGACGACGATGCGGGTTCTCCTTTCTATCATCGGGAACACGGTGGCAGCCGTAGGAAATCTGTCACTTGTGCTTCTTATCATTATATATATATTTGCTGTTATTGGAATGCAACTGTTTGGTGGAGACTACATTGCGGAAAGTTTTGATGAAGGGGTTGTTCCCAGGTGGAATTTCGTAGACTTCCAGCATTCCTTAATGGTGATCTTCCGAATCTTGTGTGGCGAGTGGATCGAACCTTTGTACGACTGCATGCGGTGCTCTAATGCCGGGACGTGTATTCTTGTGTTTATTTTAACAGTAATCATTGGTAACATTATGGTAAGGAACTATGAATCCAACGTGAAAACCGACGTGATCAAAGTTATAGAATATACAAGTTGTAGAACAGTCATAGAAGAGTGAATCTAGTATTTTGTTTATGAACTAGTGTTGTTGGACTACGCTTACGCAAAAGCGTGTGAAAGAGCAGTTTGCTTCTAATCGGATTTGTAT